CAGCCTCAACACAAAGCCCCTTCCTGTCACCTGGGCCATGCCACCCAAAGAAAGGGGTAATCCCCATCCTCTATCAGGCACTATCAGGCACACGTAAAGTGTGCCTTCCCACTTAACATCCAGGGCCTTGTAGCAAGTGAAGAGGAAACCCAGTGACACAGGAGTGACAGTTTTGTTGTTAACTCTCTCAGGTGCCTGTCAGAGTTTGTAAAATGCACTCTAGTACTGCGATACTGTGAACTCCACAAGGTCCTCCCCCAGCCCACTGAGCCACTCTGGTAACCCTCCACCCCAGCCCCACCCCCTGGCAGAGAGAGGCCTCTATAGACCAGGGGGCCAGATTATCTATATTTATAGAGCCCTCTGAGGCAGCTGCTTACATATGCAAAGGAGACGCATTCCTTGAGCTACTCTTTACCGGTCTCTTTCTTGAAATACAAACTTGGTGGCAGTCTCTAAGGGCCTTTTCTTTTTTTCTTTTTTCTTTTTTTTTGCAGAAATGAAATTTTGGTGAGGGCTGACTACTCCTTAAAATGGGCATGTGATGGGAGAGGGGCTCTACATTTGATTCTCAGGGAGAGGTCAGCCTGCAACCACCCAAGGGTTCTCCCCAACAGACTTGAGAAACTAGAGAAGGGGGGTGAAGGGCGCTGTGACTGGAACAGGAACCTGGCTTGTGCCCTGAGGAACCTCAGAATTAGGCACAGGTTTGGCAAGAGTTTATAGGATAACTGTGCCCACCCAGAAGCAGTATCCCTCCGCATCCCCAAGCAAGGTCTTAGAGACAGTCAATATGTGCTCATTATTAAAGGCGAAAAAGAAAGGATTACATTTTCCAGTCTTGGGTTTGGTGTGCCCGGGTTGCCCCTAAACCCCGTGCTCACGAAACCCTTGGAAGCCACTCACCTAAACCCTCCCATGCAGGGTCTCCCAGGGGACGTCCCAGGGGCTCTGGACCCAACAGTCCCTGCCCAGTCACAGGGCTGGCTGGGCCTCAGAGCACCGGGCACTTTCTTCTGTATTGGTACGAACTTCTCTAGAGAGGTCACAGGCAAACTTTAGGGGATGCCCTAGAGTCCTGCCAGCCCCCCAGCCAGCACGGAGGAGAAGCCTCCCAGGACCCTGAGGGTGGGAGGTATGGCTTCCCCAGCCCGGCTCTCCCAGCAGCCGCTCAGAGGCTCGGTGAGCACAGAGCGGGATTCCGCTGCTTGGGAGGTGGTGCTGTCTCTTTAAGAGAGAGGAGGGAAGACAGTGTCAACCCTAGAGCACCGGGAGCAGCCCGCCCAGCTCCAACGGGAGCATTATCAATGAAACCACACTCTGGGCCCAGATTGGTTCCCACTTCCAAGGGGAAGGGGCGGCCTGTGGGGGAGGGGCACTCCAGATCCCTGGAGGACTCTCTTTTTAGTGGAGGGACGTACTCTTTGGATATTTAAAGGCGTTCTAGTGGCTCTCCGTCAGCGCCCCCACCACAAATAAACGAACCCTGCTTTCTCTCCTAACACAGACGGCAACACTGGGGACTGCCTAAACCCAGGCCACCAGGGCTCCGCGCGGGGCCCGAGGGGGTGTCAGCGGTGGGGAAGCCTCCGGGTGGTCCCTTGGGGTTCAGTGGCCAAGGACCGGCACATTTGGTAAATTACAGCTTGTCTCCTAGCAACAGACAACACATTTGGCTCCACGTGACTCTACCCTCAGGAGGGGGCAAAAGAAAAGGTTGTAGGGGGCACCTAAGGAAGAGTGAGGGGCTCCCCAACACTGCAAGAGGGGCTCTGGGAGAGGAGGGGGTCACACTGACAGGTCCTGTGGCTCCTCCGCGATGGCTGTCCTGAGCGGGCCTCCACTCACCTTTGGTGTCCAGCTCCACGTGGATGATATTGCCCATGACCGAAGTGCTGTGCAAGTGCTGAACCGCCTCCTTGGCTCCCCTGACCGTGGCAAAGACCACTTTGGCGATGCCCAAGTGCTTCTTGGTCTTGGGATTGTACAAAATCTCCACCTCCTCCACCTCCCCATACTTCTTGCACATGTCCCTCAGGAAGTTTTCACGGATGTTATCATTCAGCTTGGCAAATGTCACCTGCTTCGGAGGCACCGGGCCCACATAGAACTCATCGATCTGGCAGGGGACGAGGGGGAAGGGAGGTTGAGAACACTGAAACCGAATGGAAAACACAAAATTCCCCACTCGCCCGCCCTCTGAAAACAATGAAAGGTAAAAAATAAAAATTTTTTTTTTGGAAAAAAAAATGCACGCGGGCGGGCCCGGGAAGCGGAGGATTAAATCGTTTGGAACGTGGAAGTCCTCTGGGTTCGAAAGGAAAGGGGAAAAAGAAACAGTTTCTCTTTCCCCACCCCCTACTCTATCCTCCTCTCCCTGCTGCCAGCGCAGGGGCGACCCCTTGGGCTAGGAAGTTGTACCCCTAAAGCCACAAGGCTGGGAAGGGGGGCGGGTCCCAGAGCCGAGCCCTTGGGCTGGCAGGAGCCAGGTGGGGACCCGGAGCCCCCAGCTGGGCGGGCAGGATACTGTATCAGCGCCTTGATTACAGTTTCACCGAGTGTTATTCTGTTTACAGTAGCCGAGAGGGGACACCCCCCTCTTTGCCATCTCCCCCTCCCCGCCAAAACTTCCCAGGCCCCGGACGGCGGGAACTCAGAATCCGGCTGGGCTTGGTCAAGACTGGCGTTATTTTCGAATTCGGGGCTTGGGGAGGGGGGTCAGGGGCGCGGGGCAGGGGGGAGGGGCCCTACTTTGAATTTGGGCACCGACAGCTCCAGCTCCTTGTTTTTGGTCCAGATCCCGACGACCCGGGGATCTTCGACAATTTCCACCGGGCGGTTGCTGGACATCTGTGGGGAGGAAGCGGTGGGGGGGGGACGTAATGGGTGGCCTGGTCCAACTCCCCAGGGACAGGGGCAAGCCCCCCCCCCCGCCCTTCTCCAGGCACTTGTCAAACTCCAGGACTACGGACCCGGCTGACAGTTGGCCGGGTGGTCAGGAGGGGGGTCCCCGGGCCGATCGGACCCTTCCGCCCCCACCCTCCTCGCCACGGCTCGGAGGGTGGGTGCGGGCGGCGGGGAGGCGCGCCGGCTACTCACCGCCAGGCTGAAATGCTGCCCATCGTAGCGGTACAGTTTATGATGCCCCTTTTTCAAAGCCGGGTCAATCATCAACTTGTAACTTCTCCAATGGTGGTTCCTCCTCTCGCCCGAAGGGCCGGGCTGCGGCGGGGGCTGCTGGTGGTGGTGGTGGGGGGGGTGACTGTTCTCCATGCCGTTAACCCAACCTGAAAACGAGCAAGTTGTTGTCGTCTCCGCCGCGGTGGCGGCGGCGGCCGCTTCTACACACACGCGAAGGAATCAAATCGTCCAGCCCCCACCCCCTCCCACCTTACCAGCGCGCCCCAAAAGGAGCTGTCTCGCTGGCTCCCCCCAAAATAAGAATGGAGCGAGAGAATAACCCTTCCGGAGAATTAGGCGCCCGCCCGCTCGGCCACCATCTCGGGGCGGCTGCGAGGGGCTCCCGGGGGCCCTTGGTGCAGACTGGCGGGGCCCGGGGCACCCGGAGGACCCGGGCTCCGGCCCATGGTACCCGCCCGGCCGCCCGGCGTGGCGCTAGCTCGCTCGCTCCGCCCGGCTCGGGCGCGGGGCTCGCGGCAGGCCTGGCGCCGCCCGCCCGCCCGACCGCTCGGCCGGAGCGGGGGCCGGGGCCGGGGCTGGGGGCTGGGGGCTCGGGCCGCCCGGCTGCCGGCAGCGGCCTCTCCCTCCCCGAGCCGCGCTTACATCCCCGCCGGGCGCCGGCCTCCCTGCGCCGCCAGCCAGTACATGGTGTCCCCCGCGGGAACCGAGGCCGGGGCGGCCGGACTGGGGGCCGGGAGGGGGGAGCGCCGCCGCCGCGGCTGCCGGGCCCGGAGCTGCTGCCGCCGCCTCTGCTGCTGCTGCTGCTGCTGCTGCCCGGGAGGCGGCTGGCGGCGGAGGCTCGGCTCCCAGTAGCCGCACATCCCACAATACACCGCTAAGGAGCCCGACCCGAGCGCTCACCCTCCTCCTCTTCCTCCTCCTCCTCCTCTTCCTCCTCCCCTCTCCTTCCTCGCCGCTTCCCCAGGCACTCTCCCGGCGGCGGCAGCTGCGCCGCCAAAGCCCCGGGCCCCAGCGGCCCCCCACCCCTCACTCTCGCGCTCCCACACTGCCTCCCCCCTCCCGGGGGGAAGGCCTTTTAATTTATTTATTCTGCTGGGACTTAGGTGGGGGGCTTGGCTGGCGGGGGAGGGGGTCTCCCCGAGCTCTACCTCCCGCGGCTGGGGTTACCCTCCGAGCCGCGGCCGCCGCGGCGTGCGCCTGGGGCCTCCAAAACTGTTTCCAAACTGCCAAAACCGAAGGTGGGCGCGTGGGGGCTCAGGGGAAAGGGCTGGGTTTTGGGGTGTGTGTCTGATTGTGTGTTTGGACGCTGGGAGCCGTGAGGGGCGGCAAGGAGGCTCCAAACCGAGTTGTAATCGAGGTATCTCGGCTCCGGCTTCCTCTTCTGCCCCGCGACCCCCTCCCCCCAGAGCGGAGCTGGGGAAGGGAAACCAGGATTTTAACCAAATTAGCATTCACATTCCTGGGAGGATGCAGCCCTTGCCTGGACCTGGGTGATAGAAGCTTCTTTCTGTTTTTATTTTTGGAGAGGAGCGCCCTGTAATTGTGAACACATGCTTCTCTCCCCGCACCCCCCCCCTTCCTCCAGTCACCGACGAAGGAGAGAGTCCCCCTTTTTTGCATTTATCTTTCCTTCCCCTTTCTTTATTAAAGGTCCGGGAGTGGCGGCGGCCAATCAGCGCGCGGCTTCCATTTTGTGAGTTCAACTCCAAGGCTCCCGGGCTTCGCGAGGACGCGTTTGTAGCCCCCTCTGCCTCTCCTGTCGGGCGGCCGAGGCGAGGAAGTCGCCTCGCTGGGGCTTCGTGGTGGTGTATTTCACATTGGGGCTCTTTTCGGGGTTTGTAATTTGGCCGTGGGTAGGTAATTGGCTGGAGCAGGGCGGCAGGGTGCGGCAGCCAATCAGCGCGCGGCTTCTATAGGGCTTGAGTTATTAGACGCTGCTCTCAAAACATCCTTCATCAGACACCAAGGAGAGGCCAACAGATGAGGGGAGCCATTTTTCTGCAATGGAATTAAATGGCCAAGTGGGTTTTTCCTTTGTTGCAAATGGGGAATGTTTTTCCTTTGACTCCACCATCCAGTTCAGGACGCCTCAGTGTTGTGTTTAACATTTGTCAACAGGCTAAAGGACTCACAATTGGAAGAATGAAGAAGACTTTTTAAAAAGATCTGGATTTTTCCTTATGACTTGGAATCCATCTTTGTCTTGTATAACTAGGTCATAGCACACCATTAATGTCAGCAGTTAACAATTTTGAATTCCAAAAAACCTAAGTAAACGACATATTTAATTTTTTTCCTCTTTTTTTTTTTCTTGGGTGGGTGGGGGGAGCTTGGAGCTGTCTTAATCTGTATTCTCTTGACTGAACAATAAATTTTTATATATATATAGTTTCCTCTATTAAACACTTAAACCTGGCCATCTTATTAACTCCTTCTGCTCTCTTTTTAACAAGGTAATGTTTTAAATGTATAGTTTTAGGACTAGCGAAATGGCAGCAACAAAAAATTGTAAGCAGTCGTTACTCTTTTAAGTTTTTTAAAAACCTTTTACATTGTAAGTACCCAGTCCATTCTGTCCTTACGCAGTGCAGTTTTCATTGTTAATGTTGCTGAGATGTCCTTAATTTTCTGAACCTTCATCTGCATGTATGTCTTTGTCGCTCTTGTCTAACATAAAACAGTTAAAATGCTTTTAGACGATTTTGCTTTTATACAGCTAGGGTTTTAGCTTTAAGCTTTTGAAAATGTTTATAGCAATAAATGCTAGTCAGCTTTCTTCCCAGTAACATGTACACTTTCTTTGAAAATCTATCTATTTGAAGAAAAACATCTCTGTTTTTCTCGTCTTGGTAGGGGGGTGGGTGAGGGAAAGGAAGACCTCTTTGTGTAAAGAGACTAAAGCCGTCACAGGAAACTAGATTAAAACTGGAAAACAAGTCCTAGCTGGTTCGAGCCAAACACCATCGTTAACTCGGGGGTATTTTCTATGGTGGTTGGGATGGCCGGTGCGTCTTTTGCCTTTTGTTTGATTTGACTGTGTATTTTCGCCTTTTGTCTCTTAATGACGGTCACACCATTGCTATATCCAGAGCAGTAAACAGTCCTCAGCGAAGCCGCCTTTTGCCAACCCAACCCTGGAAAATTTGCAGAAGTGGAAGGAGCTGAAAATGCCATGAGAGTGTAACTTTAAAAAGGTAACAACAACAAAAAAGACACCACCACTACTCCAAATATTCCCAACTAAACAATCCCCCTAAAAGATATTTTTTACAATAACACCTCCAAAACCTCCGCCCAGCTTGATCTTCCAGACTCCATGGCACCGGGCTGAGCGGGTAAGTAAAAACAACAACAACAACAACAACAAAACTGCCTTTTACCCCTTCGAGGAAATGTTTTTTCGAGCAGGCCAAGGGCTGCAAATGTTTGGGAGCTGAGGGGAGAAGGTTTCAGGAGCTTCATGTTTGGCAGCCGGATCGGGAGGGGTGGGGGGGGTGGGGACGAGGAGGGCTCTTCAGACCCTTTTGCCCCTTCTGCCCCGGAGGCGAGAGGAAGGTCTCCCCAGCGACGTGGGGCATCCACGGAGCCGCCTGCGCTCGTCCTCCTCGCTTTTCTAGGTCTGAGCCTTGGGGGGAGAAGAAATTGAAGTGCTTTGGGGAATGCGGGCACAAAAGCCGAGGAAGCCTCTCCTTCCGGGCCTGGGGTCTCTTTCCCTTTTGATTGTGGGGGTCTCGCCCTCCGAAGCCGGCTTTTCGGGGCTCCGGGGTGCGCCTGCGCTTCCTGAGCGAAAAAGGACAAAAGGCCGGCGTCCATGTTGGCACCATGACGCAGCATCTCTCCCGCCTGCAGCCCGAGCGCTGCCTGTGCTCCCGGCCGCGCTCGCTCCTCCCTCCCAAACACGAGTTTTATTTTCAGGTTCAGAGCAGAGCCGCCGGCTGGGCCGGGGCCGAGGCCGAGGCCGGGGCAGGAGCCAGGGCGGGACTGCGGGTGGCTAATGGCGGCCGCTTTCTTCCTTCCTCCCTCCTTTCCCGGTTGTCGTTGGGAGCCCGGAGCAGGCGGCGGCCCCTCGGCCGGGCCGGGCCCCGAGAGCCCGCAGGACACAGCGCCCCGGGTCGAGGGGTGGTCACGGAGGCCGTTTTGGAGGCCGCGGGCCTGGGGGCGTCGCGCGCCGCGGCTTTCGCGCTCGCCTCTGCCGGGCGAGGCGGTCAGACGGGCGCCATTTCGCGCGCCGCCCGCGGCTCGGGCGGTGGCGGCCGCCGCGCGCCAGGCGGGAGGAGGGAAGGAGGCGGCGGGGCCGCGGGTGGGGGGAGGGGAGGCCGCCGCGGCGCCGCCCGCGTTCCAGGCCTCCGCCTGCGGGGACGCCCCTGGCCCGGGGAAACCTCGACGAAGAGCGCGGGTTCCGCAACGTCCTCGGACCCCGCTCCCGACCTGGGGGCCCCCGGGGGCACGAGGAGGCCAGCGCGGTCGCGGGGTCTTTCCTCTTCCCTCCCGCGCGGGAGCCAGTAGCAAAGGGCCACCGGGCCAATCGGGGCCTCGAGGCCACCCCCTGACCCCGACCGGCTCCTCCAGAGGCCGTGGACTTATTCCCCGCGGCCCGGCCCTGATCCCAGGCCGTCCCTGCTGCCCACCCCGAGCCTCGGCGCCCACGTCCGGCTTCCAACCGCCCTTTGATAGCCGAGCCCGAGGGGCAGGTGGGCCCCTTTTGTCCCCACTTGGGGCGTGAGGCCCTCACGCTGGCCACCGACGTCCCTAGGTGGCCGTCCAGGCACAGCCGGCCAGCCGGCGCTCTGGAAGGTGGGGTGGGGTTTGGGGCCTGGGAAAGCCGAGCGGGCCTTCCCCGGGATCCCCAGAGGCGGAGGGTTCTGGGGTAAACCCTCGCATCTCCGGCCCTTCCTGGGGGAGGGGATGCGGACGGGGCGGGCCTTTGGAAATGCAGATGAGCCGCCGCCTGCTGCTCGGCGCCCCGGCTGAACCTTGGTGATTCATCCACACCCCCCTCCTATTCATTCTGGAGTGAGGGCTGCCTTGGCAGCTGGGAAGGGGGGAGAGGCATTTGTAAGGCTCCCCTTCCCTCATGGAGACCGTATCCGGTTTGTGGCCATCGACGCCCTAAAACACCCTCCGATTTTTCCCCCCAGGATCATGACCGGAGAAGGGGCCCGGTACCCCCAGAGTGGACCGTCCTCCTTTGGACAGAAGCAGGCCTAGTTTGACAGTCCTCCCACTAAGGTAGGTGTGAGCCCTTTCCCAGCCTGCGAGAGATATTTGGGGGGCTTTGGCCTGGACCCCAGGGAGGGCGGGCACCCCAAACCTGCTAGTCTGGTTCTGCAGCCCTTCCCCCCCACAGATGTGTGGGACTGAAATCGGCTGCCTGCTGGGCCTGCTTGGTCCATCCATCCCCGCCTGTCAGCTTCCGTTGTCAGGAGTTTGGGGCGTGCAATTCTTTGCCATATTTAGGAGCATAGGAGAGGCTGCACTTGCATGTATTAGGTTGGCCCAAAAGTTAGTTCGGGTCTTTCCGTAACATCCTACAAAAGCCCGAACGAACTTTTTGGCCAACCCAATATTTCCCAGTTGTGTGGTGGGTGGAGTGCCCTGGATGCCTCTTCTGAAAGACACAGGCAGCTGCCAGGAAACCGGGCCCGGCCCTGGCCCTCCCTTCCGGCCTCCGCTGGGGGCGTGTGGGGTGACTGTGTGAGCTGGCCTCTTCCCCTCTGATGTCTGGCTGCTAGGGAGGTGAAGAACAGAAAGACCTGAGATCTGGGCCAGCTTTCTTTAAGAAAGAGGTTTCTTGACTCTTCCCCTTCCAGGGAATTCCCACGATTCCACCTCACCCAGGCCCCCCCCCACCAAAAAAAAAAAGAAAAGAAAAAGAAAAAGCCCTGTTTGTAGAACGGGAGAAACCCGGATTTGAAACCTGGCTAGCCATTTCACCTGCTGGGACCTTGCGTAAGCAGCACAGATCCTCAGCCCCAGTTTCACCATCTACACAGATGGGTCAGTGATTGTCAAAGTTGAGTGTGCAGCCGAATCACACGGGTGGCTCATTAGAATCGACTCCGAGGCCCGGTCCTTGAGTTTCTCATTCAGTAGGTGGGGCCTGAGAGCTTGCATTTCTAACAAGTTCCCAGGTGATGCTGATGCTGCCTTGTGGAGACATTTTGAGAACCTTTGGGCCAGGTAACACCTGGGGTGTTGTGAGGATCCAAGCATGTGCTCTTGGAACCCCGAACTATTTCTTGGTGCGGAGGTGTCGCTTCGTAGAGATGGCAGCTCTCTCCTTATTCTCCTTACGCAAGCTGACAGCATGCAGTTTCCCATTCTCTTTATCTCCAGGAAGCTCCGCAGCTGGAGACAGTGCGGCCCTTGATCTCTGACCCCTCTCCCACGTGATCTTTAGTTTGTGATTACTTTGATGAGCCATTTGGGTCCAGGTGCTGCTGATTGCGCCGCCTCCCCCGTTCGGGCCGAGGCTTGACTTCCGGGTCTAATAGGCTCTGCTCACTTTTATCCCATCCTTCAGTTTGGGGGCTGGAGTGAGGACTGGGGGAGCCGTAGGGCTTGACCCAGAGGTTTTGTTGGGAACGTGTTGGTGCTTAATCGAGGGAGGCTCTAAGGCAGGCAGCTGTGGGTTTGACTCTCCCCTGTGCTGGTTGACCTTGGGCGAGTCTCCTGTGTAAAGTGATGATAATGAACCCTGCAGTAAAGGGTGGAGGGCGGATTAAGTGCGATTAAGGGGGCCGGCCTCACAGGCTTCACACCAGTTGGCCCCCCTTCGGAGGTGGCTGCGGGGGGTGGGGCTGGGCTGTCCGAGAGCTCCTCCCCCACCAGCCCACCTCGTAGCACGTGGCACAGCCTCAGGGCAAAGGGGAAGGCTGACCTTCTGCAGGCTGGGAGCCAGCTCCATTTTTACTCCAGTGTGTGAGTTGGGATGGTGGCTTTTCCTCAAGTCCACAGGCTGTTGTTCCATGATGGGTCATGGTTTGGGGGGTTCCCCCCACCCGGAGAGTAACGTGACTCACCCAAGGTCAGGAGGTCACCACCGGCAGTCAGGATGAGATTCCAGGTGTCTTCCAGCCCAGCACCTGTGTGCATGGCACCCCCTCGCCCCAGCTGCTGGGTTATTCTGGGCTCCTGCCAGTGCTAGCTGTCTGCTGGCGTCACCGCCTGGGAGCTGGGAAAGCTATTTGGTTGAAAGTAACCAGCGTGGTACTCTTAGGTCCTTCTGGCTGCCATGCCTTGGCGCCATGAGGGTCTCCAGATAAGCTGGATTTGGTCCATGCTGTCTTTTGCTGGGGGGCAAGGGGTGCAGCCGACCACACCTGGCACCAGACTCCCTTCCCCCTACCCAGGGTGAGCACTTTGTAAAAGTTGGCGAGGCTCACATTATTAGTATCATACGAGCCTTTCCCTCCTTCCACAGTCTGCCCCAATCCGGCGGTTTAAATTCGGCTCTGCCATTGATGAGTTCATTCAACTCCCTGGATTCTCAGGTGACCTTTCTGCCCCCTGAGGGTGTCCTGCATCCCTTCTGATAGAGCCCTTGGGGCTCCACGGGGCTGGGGTCTTTATCTCCCGTGGGCGTTGGATAGTTAAATAATTGATTTAAACCTCTCCCTCCCAGCAGCAGCTTGGAGGGTTACAGCCAGTTCCTCCACTCCCGCCCTCGGACCAATTAGGGAACAATGAGGCGCTCCATTGTGGTCCGGGTGTGATTCTTGGAAGGGAGAGGGGTCCCGATGACCTGGAAGGATCGTACCCCTCCCCGCTTCCTTTTTTCACCCCCTCTTTCTAATTTCTTTGTCTGGCACGCCAGTACCTCCTAGGTGAAGGGAGGGGCGGGGCAGCCTATCAGTCCTCAGACTGGTTCCTCTGCCGAGAGCGTGGCTCCACCCACCGGTCGCCCAGCAAGCTCGGGGCGGGGCTGCTCCTGGCGCCCAGCCGGTGGAGCCTGCCTGGAGAGGGCCACGCCAGCGGAAGGGCGGCCGGAGGTGGCCGGACCTGCCTTCCTACTGGACGCCAGGGGCCCGCCCCTTCCGGCCCGTTGGGCGAGAGCCGAGGCGTGGAGTACGACCTTTTGGACCCCCTGGGTGGAAACTGAACCTCTGCCTGGACTGTGGAGATGGGCACCCTGCCATCTCAGAGGCCGCCTGGGTCCAGTGCTGTCTCCATCTGGCCAGTGACCTCGATGAGTTCCTACTCCTCCAGGAGTCGTGGTCTCTCCTGTGAATCAGGAGGAGGAGGTTGGCAGATAACCTTTGACCTGTCTCTGAGTCTGGCTTTGTGGAGGTAGCTCTTTGTACTCTGGTGGTGACTCCCCTGAGCCCACCACCACATGTTGAGCCTGGAGAGAGTCCTGGGACAGGGATAGACAGCCTTGATCCCCCAGGCTGCGCTGGGCCACCTCCCATCCCTGGGGCCCCAGAGGATGGTCAGTTACTTCTGTCTCACGTGGGGTGGATGACCCCTCAGGTGTGTAGTGACCTCCCAGAGTATGCTGAGGCACCAGGGAAGTGGAAGCCATTAGCATTGTCGTTAATGTCCCCGTCCTGACCTGTGCTGGCCAGACCTTGCCCTGACAAGACAGAAGTGGATCTGGCCCTACTTCTCTCTTGTGGTCAGTTGGCCTCACTAGATCCCAGGCCTAGATGTGAGCACAAATCAGTTCACCCCCGCAGATGCCACCTGCCAGCTCCCCTAGGCTTCTGTGTCTCGACAGCTTTGTGGCAAGAACCAGTTTAAAGAATTTTTTCTTACCCTTCTAAATCTCTCCAGGAATTCCTGGTGAATAGAAGAATGGCATGGGTCCTCGGAACATTTTGCAGGTAAGGGAGTAGGGCTCCCCGGGCCCGTGGGTGTTCCCAGTGCCTCAGCTGGCCTGCCCTGGCACAGCACCTCTAAGGAAGCTCCGAGCAGCTGGCCTGGCTGCCGGGTATTTTTAGCTACAGATCCAGCCCCTACACCACCACTGGAGCCAGGTCCAAATCAAACACGCTCCAGGCAGGGTGGGGCTGGGGCTCTGTGCCAGCCTCTCAGCCAGGCAGGGGTGGGTGGGCAGGCTGGGGCCAGTGTCAGCTGTCCTGCCTGGACCTGGGCCGGCCTGGGAAGACCTGCTTTCATGTAAGTCATTTTTTCTGTTATAAGTTGAAATCCATTAGTTAGACAGAAAAGGTGGAAACCGAGGTCTGAGGATTTTGAGGAAAAGTTAAGTGCCCTCTCCCTACGGGCTGGAGCAGTTCCCACAGTTTGCTCAGAATGGGCAAACTCTAAGTGAGTTCTCTCAAGGCCCTTCCCAGATGAGGTAGTCTTACTCTCCCAGTCACTCCCTGAGCTTCAGGGTATCTGATGTGAGGTCAGGCCTGTGCCTGGCTCAAAGGTAAGTGGTCCTCCCCTCCCTCAAAGCCCTCTTCCATCCTCCCTCTCCCTGAGTGATGGCTTCCTCCCCCTCCTCTTCTGCCAGCCCCAGGCTGCCACTGTGTAGAGATGGCCCCAGCTCTGTCCTCACCAGCCAATCACAGCTCTCCCCTGGTCACCGGAAAGAGCTTTCGCTGGGCTCCTCTGTTCAGAGCCTCTGTCTGACACCCATCTTGAGCCTGATAGCCAGGCCCCTGTGATCTAACCCTCATCACCTTGACAACCATGTCTGGTCTCCCTACTCATGCCCCAGCCACTGCCAAACCTGATGGGGTTTCCAGCCACCATGCATTTACTCAGGCTGGGTACCCATCCTACTTCCTCTGGCCCTTCCTGCCAGCACTGCCAAGCTTAGTTCATGTGTTGCCCAGCTCTCAACTTCCTCTGAACCCCACGGGGGCTCCGGTGTCTGAATTGTTCTCGTCTCGCAGACTCCTTTAGACTGCTTCCCCCAGGACTGAGTTCCTCAAAGGCAGGAACACAATTGCCTCTCAATAAACGTGTGCTGCAAAGAAGGAATGAATGAATTGCTGTATATTTGTCTAGGGGTGCTTGACCCAGCAGATGCCCTCTGGCCCGGTGACAGAGTAGGGCTTTCCGCTTAAGAACCTGGAGCTGGGTCTTCTCTTCCCAGCTCTGGGCTCTTTGGGGGCTTCCTGGGGCAGTCTCTGCTGCCATCTGGTGGTCAGATTATGCCTTGCATTCTCTGAAAACGTTGACCTGGCATTTATGGTGCCAGGTTGACGATTTCCTTTCCGAAGTAAAATTTACCTGATCCTTGCTGAGTACCTGAAAGTGGGGAATCTTCTGGGTGGGATGAGGGCAAGAAGATCCTGAATCCTGCCAGCCCTTCTCTGAGGAAACTGTCAGATGTCCTACCCCAGCTGGGAAAGATTCTGCTCTCTCACCTAGCCATGTCCCAGTGCCTGCCTGGTACATGCTTGATCCTGGGGGTCCCTCTGCCACTCCTGACCACTGGCCTGGTTTGTGCAAAAGACAGTCCAAGGGAGGGAAGGGGTGGGAGGCAGGGGTGGTTTTGCCCAGACGCCCTGATAGTACCTGGCCAGAGTGAATGCTCGGTAAATAGCAGTTTGGGTCCGGGGGTTGAGGAGAAAGCTTGGGATGAAGGATATGTGGCTGCTGGCTGGAGAACACAAATTTCTTGGTGGGAGCAGGGTTATCAGTCTCCAAAGTGGACGGAAGGGGGCCCAGCTGATCTCAACTAGATTTACCTTGACCTTCCCCTTCCCCTTCTCGACGGCGTCTTGCTTGGTTCCCACGCCTCTGGGCCTTGCTAGAAAGAGGTTCCCGCCCGCTTGGTTTGGGGCCAACCCTCGAAAGGGTTCTGGGGCCACTCACCTGTTACCAAAGTTGCCGCGCCGAGGCCATCGCCCGGCAGAGGGCGCCAGACCTCCACCTTTGGGAGGTAGGGTGATAGGTAAGCGGAACCGCTATTCCCCAACCCACACACAGGCTCACTCCCATAGGGCCAGACCACGTGGGCAGACAGGACCCCTATGCCAGGATCTTTCTTGGAACCACCGACGCTACCTTCTGGGGGAAAACAGGTCAGAGTGGACTTCCCCGAGGCCACATAGTTGGGGCGGGGCGAAGCTGGGGGGCTTTCCCCAGAGCTTGAGACCAAGGCTCCTCGAACCCGAGGGCTGGGGGGCAGTCCGCCAATCAAAGAGACCCTGCCCGATGGAGGAGGCCGAGTCGGCCAATCAGAGGGTCCCTGCCTGAAGACAGAGACTGCCAATCAAGGGTGCCAGGCGGGAAGGGGCGGAAACTATCAGATCTTGCTGGTTGGGGTGTGGGGGGCGCCGTGACTCGCAGGAGAGATGGGAGCTGCGCTTGCCGCTGAGCACTCCGTTTCTCAGTTGCCTCAGTTTCCCTGGGAATGAGAGGTGAAGACTCTGGGCCGAGAGCCTAGCAGGAAGGAAATAGTCTGGGAGGTCGACCCGGCTGGCTGCCTGGCGGAGGAGGTGCCGGCTCCGAGGGCGGGGCTTCTCTTAGCCCCGCCCTAGGGGCCAGCCCGCGCCCCGCCCGCCCCGGATCGCTCAACCTTAGCGCTCTCCTCAGGGCGCCGCCGCCAGTGCTGCCTGCTCCCGGCTATGGACAACCCTGGGGCCCCAGCCCCGACTGCCGCCCCGGGCCCGGGCAAGAAGCAGCTGAAAATCGTGGTTGTGGGCGACGGCGGCTGCGGCAAGAGTTCGCTGCTCATGGTGTACAGCCAGGGGTCCTTCCCCGAGGTGAGGCCCGCCGGGGGGCTGGAAGCAGGCTGGGGGCGCGGGAGACGGGCTTGGGACCACTGGGGGTGAGGGACAGACCTCAGCCTGCGCCCCGAACCCGGACCCCAGGTCCCTGGCGTCCTGCGCACGGAGAGGCGGCCGTCACCCCGGGGCGCCCCCTCGGGAATTCCAGAGCCCAGCAGAGTGAGGGGGGCTGAGCCGGATGGGGTGAAGGTGGGGGTGGGGATCCAGTCGGACCCTGGGTCCCCGCCGCACCTCTTAAGAACCAACACTGCCCGTTCTCCGACAGCACTACGCCCCATCCGTGTTCGAGAAGTACACGGCCAGCGTGACCGTGGGCAGCAAGGAGGTGACCCTGAACTTATACGACACCGCCGGTGAGTGCGTCTGCGCGGCGAGGGTCCTAGGGTCCGCCAGGAGCGTTTCCCCTGAGGGGCATTCCCCGCCGGGCATCCCCGCCCGCCCTTCTGCCTCTCCCGGGGCTCTAACATCCCGTCACTCCTGGAGGCCGCGGAGGGGCGCTGGCTGGGAACCGGTTGACCACCGCCTGACTGGGTGGTGCTGGAGGCCGACAGAGGCGCCCCATCTGTAAAAGGAGGGTATTTGGAAGAGGTGAGTTCCTGAGCCACCCTCTTAGCGCTGATGTTCTGAGGGCTCACGGGTTCCTTCCTCTCCTATGGCTCTAGAAAACCGTGGGCTTTGCTTCTGCTTATTATGGCTCCAGGATTTCGTGTTACATGCTGTGGTCTCTTAGGATTGCGTGGGCTGCAGATTTGAGTCCCCTGGTGCTAGGGTTCAGTGGGCTGCATTTCTGGGTCCTATGTTCTAGAATACTTTGGGCTATAGATCAGAGCCTGTGACTCCAGGATTCTGTGGCCAACAGCCCTGAGGCTCTAGGGCCCTAGAGCTACACATTCTGTGTCCCATGTGTCTGGAATTCCATGGACTATGGTGCATGACTCTGAATTCTATGGTCTATGATTTTGAGCCTGTGGTTCTAGGATTCTGTGGCTACAGTTCTGTTTCTTCCTGGCACTGAAGAAGGAACAGAGCTCTAGGGAATGTAGGTTCAAAATAAGGTTCTGTCTGCCACCTGCAGCTCCTAAGGCAAATGTATTTATGCTAATTGCGTCACAGTCATCAGCGTTCCTATTGTTGGGGGATGGGTGGAGGAGCACAGCCAACGGGAGGATTTGGGTAACACTGCTGGTACTGGTACCCTTGGGGAGCTTCCATCCTGCCCTGATGCTCCTCTGGGCTGAATCAACTTTGGGGAGCAAAGCTCAGGATCCCAGCTGGGGCCTCACCCAGCCTCTGTGACTCAGTGTTCAGTAATTTGCAGGGGACTATGTCATCAGGTGTCCCTTCCCCTGTCGGCCAAGCCTTGTATGTATGAGGTCAAGTCTTCCAGCTGGTCTTGGATAGGGCCAAAATCCAGGACCACCCCCTCCTGCCCACTGCTCCATAAGGCTGCCAGTAACATCTCTCATTCCACTCTGGAGAGGTTCAGGAAAGGGCCTCTCCCAGCCCCAAACCCCTCCTTCATTCCTGACTTTGCCATATGGGTGTGTCCCCCCTATAGTGGCCTCTAAGGGCCCTCTCTTGTTGGATGAGGGCCCTGCAGGGCTGCCCCCAGAACAGGGCCATGCCTCCAGCCCCTTGAACTGGGAAAGCCAAAGGCGTCTGAGGAATTCCCAAGGGCGTGGCCACAAGAGAAGTAAAAATCGTGGTGTGTCTGGGACACTTTCAGTTTCACATGTTTCCTGTCCGGGACCCAGGTGGGGGCAGGTTCATTAACCCCACTTTGTGGGTGGAGTGCTGGTGGGGCAGGGAGAGTCAGAGGGAAGATTTCACTCTCTTCCTTCCTCTGCCCTCAGGGCTTCACCGCAGCCTCCCTCATCGGACCCAGAGTAAGGATCACTTCTGGTCTTTCTGGCCTCACCCAGAGAAAGATGCTCAAAGAACTTATCAGCGTAGATTGTCATGTAGAGGTTCTGGAAAGCTTCTACTTGGTATAAGGAATGATTTTCACTAAGAGCTACTGTGGGAGGGATGGGGAGAGCTCCTTCCCAAATCACCAGGAGCAGTGACCACTCAGGGCGATGATTACCTGTCCACAGCTTCCTTTGGAGTCAGACCTGGGCTTTGATGCTGGCCCCCCTGGCTGCATGTCAGTGGGGGCACCTAGGCCTCAGTTTCCTTCTCTGTAATCAAGGCTAAAATAGTTGTGAGGATTACATCAAATTCATGTGACATGCAGCACTTAGTGTAGGGCCTGGCTTTTGCAAAGGGCTCACTGTCATTGTGATTTTTTAACCTCCTGCCATTCAGGCCCAGGCCCCAGCCCAAGCCTATTCTTTTGAACCCGCTGCCTGCAGAGCTCTGTGCCGGCCCCCACCCTCTGCTTTCCCAGCAGGACTGTTCCAGGCAGCAGAAAAGCAGAGCTGGGGTTTGAACCTCTCAGTGGCATCCCTGGGGGAGTAGACTGGCCTCACAGTCAGCAGGACGGCCCAGGAGGGATATTCTGGGGGGAAGAAACGTGGCTGTTCCCTCAAGGGTGTCCCGCTGTGACTTGGGAAGCCCCACTGTCAGGAGGAGCATGAAGGAAAGCCTGGGTCACTCCTCTTCCACACGCCAGTGCCCAGCGTGGTGCTTGTCCTAGAGCGAGGCTTGTGGAATGAATGAATGAAAAAGAAACCTGGGTGCAGAGACACCCCTGGAGAAGGTCCTTTGTGATAAAGGTGATGAGATTCGTCTCTCTCTCTGGGGTGGACAGATATCCGAAGAAAGTGGCAGAAAGAATGGCCAGGTGATCAACTAGAAAAAGATAGAGACAGGGTGAAGGGAGTGGCCCAGGTAGAGATGAGTAATGGTGGTTTTATTTATTTATTTATCTATCTGTTTATTTATTTATTTATGGCCCCGTTGGGTCTTTGTTGCTGCGTGTGGGCTTTCTCTAGTTGCGCGAGCAGGGGCTACTCTTCGTTGCGGTGCGTGGGCTTCTCACTGCGGTGGCTTCTCCTGTTGTGGAGCACGGGCTCTAGGCATGCAGGCTTCAGTACTTGTGGCTCGCGGGCTCAGTAGTTGTGGCTCACGGGCTCTAGAGTGCAGGCTCAGTAGTTATGGTGCACGGGCTTAGTTGCTCCGCGGCATGTGGGATCTTCCCGGACCAGGGCTCGAACCCGTGTCCCCTGTACTGGCAGGCAGATTGTTAACCACTGTGCCACCAGGGAAGCCCCAAGTCTAGTAAAGGTTATGGTAGAAGGTTCTAGAACCTGATGGGCTAGACCCTATGGTGGGAGGTGGGGGGCAGGGGAGCGAGCATCTTTCCAGCCAACCAGTGGTGCTCAGAGCTGTGGGATGGGGTGCCCCCCCGCCCGAGAGGCTGAATTTCTCCACACCCAGGACCTCAGCCACAGGGGTCCGTGTGGGAGGAGAGTCTGGCTACTTGTCTCCGTCCTGCGGAAGCAGTTACAGACACCACTGCGGCGGGAGGGTGGATGGAGGGGTGATGGAGCTCTCAGTGCAGTGCGCAAAGGTGAAGGGGGCGGGCGCTGTGAGCACCCATTGCCCTAGCAGCTCATCTGCCTGCCCAGACACCCTCAGAGGCAGGAAGCTGCGGTGAAGTCTGAAGTTTCCTGGGCAGAGAGAGGGGAGGTGGGGGCGAGGTGGGATGTTAAGACACCAACCGGAGACAGAGCTATCTGGGCTTTGGGGTGGGGCATCACAGGACTGGCTGGAGTTGCCCCGGGAGGTCGGGGAGCTGTGGTCCCCTTCCCAGCCAGAGATGGGAACAGTAGGAAAAGTGGGGCGCAAAGAAGTCGCTGAGACAGGAATCACGGACAAGAGGGGTGCCTAGGAGCCAGGAGCCCTGGAGGCGGGGGAGCTGACGCTGTGGGTCTATGGCGCATGCGTGGTCTGAGCTCCAGACCGCGGTTAGGAGACACAGGTGGGCGGGCCCCAGTAGCACTAGTAAAAGTGGGTTCCTCTTCTGGCAGCTTCCCCTTCTCACGCTGCCTGCACCCCTCCCTCCCCTGACCAACACCCCGGCCAGAGATGGGAACCACGTGCCCTGTAGATGTCCTCTGGCAGATTTGGGGACTACTGTGGCCCAATGACACCCTCTCCTCTACCCGGCACCAGGTCTTAGAGACCATGCCCCCGGGAAGATGACTGTCATGGCAGAGCTTCCCACAAAGGAAATAACGCTCGCGTGAGCCTCACTTCCTCAGGCCCTGCGGCACCGCCAGCTTCAGGAAGATGGGCAGCTTCCGGGGGAGCTGTGGATCAGAAGACCTTTCCTCTCCAGAAGCAAATGTGTCCTTTTGCACATAACCCGAGGGGCTTTTTTTATTTTTATTTTTATTTTTTTGCGTTATGTGGGCCTCTCACTGTCGTGGCCTCTCTCGTTGTGGAGCACAGGCTCCGGACGTGCTGGCTCAGCGGCCATGGCTTATGGGCCTAGCCGCTCCGCGGCATGTGGGATCTTCCCGGACCGGGGCACGAACCCGTGTCTCCTGCATCGGCAGGTGGACTCTCAACCACTGCGCCACCAGGGAAGCCCTCGGGGGGCTTTTTTAACCTCTCAAGCCCATCTGCAGAGGCCAGAGTGGGACCCCTGTTCGCCTCTGGGCAGATGACTTTGCCCCCTTTAAGCCTGGGCATCACTGTGAGTAAATGGGGAGGGTAATTGTATCACCTAGTGGATGGGAGGCCTCCTAGAGCTCGTGGGTCCCAAGATCTGCGGTTAGAATCCCCCACCCAGGTCCCCATTCAGTTTCTATTTCAATAGTAACCGCAGGCCCACACCTTTGCCCAGCATTGCTCAGCCTACAAGTCCTTTACTTCCAATATCAAGGGCAAGGTTATCACCCCCTTTTTCAGATAAGGAAACTGAGGCCCAGAGAGGGAAGGTGCCAAGATCATGGAAAATGAGTCTGAGTGGAGCTTGGCTCTCCTGACTCATAGGGGTGGGGTGTCCAGGACACTCCACTCCTCCCAAGGAGCCATGAGGTCGACAGCACCCAGAAGTCCATAGTCTGCAGGCGTGGTCCCTATGTGGAGGCTCACACTGAACTCCTGGGGAAAGCTGAGCCAGGCACAGTCAAGTCAAGAAGACAACTGGGGGCTTCCCTGATGGCGCAGTGGTTGAGAGTCCGCCTGCCGATGCAGGGCACACGGGTTCGTGCCCCGGTCCGGGAAGATCCTACATGCCGCGGAGCGGCTGGGCCTGTGAGCCATGGCCGCTGAGCCTGCGCGTCCAGAGCCTGTGCTCCACAACGGGAGAGGCCACAAGGTGAGAGGCCTGCGTACTGCAAAAAAAAAAAAAGGGAACTGGGAAGAGGCGATGGGATCTGGGCTGGCTACCCATCCTCTC